CTCACGGTCGTACCTATAGTGTCGCCAGGATGACGTCACAATGGGAATATGTGAATAAATTATGACCTATAGTGTCGCCAGATGACGTCACAATGGGAATATGTGAATAAATTATGAGGGCGCTGTTTATGACGTCATATTTGGATGGGTGAAGACGTCATAAAATGTGACGTCATCTTATGAGGGCGCTGTTCATGACGTCATATGTGGATGGGACGGTGACGTCATATTGGGGGTGATGACGTCGTAAAATGTGGCGTTATCATCATGAATTTTTCAAAACGAACGACAGAGGGCACTCACACACAAATAAATACACGTCATTTTAGAAACTAACGTTTATTACACAAAAGAAGAATATTAGCATTAAAAACATGACATTTTAAAATAGTTGAAATACATAGGGTATACATTTTTGACAAAAAACTAGTAAGATCAGTTACATTACATATATTTTTTGTTTATTTGTTTTGTGTTTTGTTTTTGAAGTAATTAATCATAAATTGAAATGGTATACATTTTCAAATGCTGTTAAGTATTCACACTGGGTAATATAAGAATGATATTATTAGATGACAAAAAACTAGTAAGATCAGTTACATTAAATATATATTTTGTTTTTTTTGTTTTGTTGTTTTGAAGTAATTAATCGTAAATTGAAATAGAATACATTTTTCAAACACTGTTAAGTATTCACACTGAGTAATATAAGTATGATATTATTAGAAGTAATATAAGAATGAGTTTGAAATACATACAGTATACATTTTCAAACACAGTAAAGTATTCACACTGAGTAAATAAAAAATGGTTATACATGACATTTAAACAAATATTGCAAAACTAGGTTGAAATAAATGGAATAGGGTTAGGGTCAACAGAAAACTCCCAAGTTTCTACATTTCACTAAAAAATTGACATTTTTTTAAAAAAGAAAGTTGAAATACATTTTCAAAACGCAGTAAAGTATTCACACTGAGTAAATAAAAATGGTTATACATGACATTTAAAAATAATAGCAAAACTAGGTTGAAATAAATGGAATAGGGTTAGGGTCAACAGAAAACTCCCAAGTTTCTACATTTCACTAAAAATTGACATTTTTTTTTTTTTTTAAAAAAGAAAATTGAAATACATTTTCAAAACGCAGTAAAGTATTCACACTGAGTAAATAAAAATGGTTATACATGACATTTAAAAATAATTGCAAAACTAGGTTGAAATAAAATGGAATAGGGTTAGAGGTCAACAGAAAACTCCTCAAGTTTCCTACATTTCACTGTACTATAGAGAATAACTGCTAAAGTATGAATGACATGTTTTATTCTATATATGTTGCTGTATGATGTCAAAGAGTTGGGAATCCATTTCGCGTGTTGATAACATGATTTTACAAGACGGTATGCATAATTCAGGGCTCGATTTATAAAGTTGGAATAACACACGATTATACTGTCTAGAATATTTTCCGACCAGTTCTGGGTGAATGCGTTGAAAGGCATCGTAACAAGTGGCAATTTTACGGATATCAATATCGCGCAAAGCTTTGACGATGTATTGGTGAATTTGGCTAACCTGGCTGTCTTTATCACAGAATCCATAAGATAAACAAGCGTGTCGTGTTTGTGAAGGATGGTCTATTTGACAACCTAGACAATTGGAGCGAACGATGTGTCTGACTTGTGAACAGATAAATTCAGCTACATTTTTTTTTAAAATCAGTTTATCCATTAGTTTTCTGTTTCCTGTGGAAAAAAAAATATCTCTATCAACAGTTTCAAACGTATTGTGATAGGTATATTTGATGGTTAAAATCACCCGAGACAGCATTAAATTTTGACTAGCTCGCCATCTGACCTTGTCATTAACCTTTATCAGTAGATGTCATGGCAACCACTGTCAAAACTGACTGACCTCGTCATTTAACCCCTATCAGTAGATGCCATGGCAGCCCACCGTTAGGCTGAAAATATAAATCATGACAGTATAGTGGGAAATCTGATTGCAATAGGTATATTTGATGGTTAAAATCACCCGAGACAGCATTAAATTTTGACGAGCTCGCCATCTGACTTTGTCATTAACCTTTATCAGTAGATGTCATGGCAACCACTGTCAAAACTGACTGACCTCGTCATTTAACCCCTATCAGTAGATGCCATGGCAGCCCACCGTTAGGCTGAAAATATAAATCATGACAGTATAGTGGGAAATCTGATTGCAATGTTACTAACGAATTGACTGACTACTTGTGTTTTTCATTCTGAACGTATCGATATAACAGCAATGGATGTGAGGTGTTCACGACAGCTTACAGAAATCATTGATTAATGTGTTATTTGTTTGTAAAAAAAAACAAAAAAAACGTACCTGATAACACTGTTGATTTGGGGTAAAATTTCAATGAAATTGTTGTACTGTTCCATTGTTAATGCTACCCCACGCTTCGTAGGGTACCCATTGTAATATTCCCGAATATGTACATAACGTTTCCCACGGAATGAGTTAATTGTTACGTAAAGGGATTTGCTCGAACAAATCAATCGGGTAAAGATATTCTCACCTCGTGGGGCAATGGTGGAGGATTTAGCACCCATTGCACTGACGTCAGGTGCTACCTTTTTAGAACATTCACCAGTTGATGAACGCATTGACTCAGATGTAGTAGTAGCTAGCGAATTAACGGTCGAACGCGATGAGCCGTCGGAAGCCAAATTAATAGCCCTGCGTTTCTTAGGACGACTCGTCATGTTGCCCTGTTCATAGATTGGAGATGAAGTCACAACGTCTTTCTTAGGACGACTCGTCATGTTGCCCTGTTCATAGATTGGAGATGAAGTCACAACGTCTTGTGCTAAAGACCCAGCGAACTCGTCTAAATACGTGTTTAGCGGATTCATCTTGAACCAAGGCTACTATCTGAAGAAATGACGTGATCCACTGACTACACGTGTTTCAAATTCTAATGTTGCTCGCTGATTGAACAATGCATTATATTTTTAGATGTTGAGAATGAATCATCTTTTTTATATTCTAATGTTCGCTCGCTGATTGGACAATGCATTATATTTTTAGATGTTGAGAATGAATCATCTTTTTTATTTTCCTACAGATACAACATTCCTTGAGACATTAATCTCGGTGATAATGTAGGTAGACATTCACTACTGGTAAGGGGGGGGCTGGTAACCTAATTTGTATTTCCCACACATTCCTCGGAAGCACTTGCTCTTGTGTTGAACGATGAATGCGTACAACTGGTGTCCTGATACAATTGTATCAAGCCAAAACAGACATCAAAGACACCGTAAAATATCACAACCGACTGCCAAAACAGACATCAAAGACACCGTAAAATATCACAGCCGACTATGATGATGAAATATGAATGCCAAAAGAGTTGATTAAACTTCCGTGTTATACGAAGACATTTACGCTCTACGACACCTAACTTCCAACACGATGTCCAAGCGGGCTCTAGAATTGGATCAAGCGGATTCCACTTTTAAAAGGTAATCGATTCATTTTTTATTTTTGTTTTCACGTTTTCAAACACTAGTCAATGTTTTGTTTTGAAAAACTATCAGTTTAAATCACTGGGAAAAAATTTTGCCACATAGACAGTGAGAAATGTCAAAACACATCTCAAATATGTAAGTCTAAGTAGTCAGAATGTATAATAATGGAGATTTGTTTACAGAAAAGGAATACTACAATGTTTTCAATTGATGTCATATCTCTCATTCACAAAAAAATCATTTTTTTTGAATCGAGTCATTGCTTGAACTCATTACCGAGCGTACCCCCTCAGCTTTAA